GGCGGGGGATTTCCAACCCTGAGCACACTACTCCTTAGCTAGAATGAGAGGGCTTTTAGAGCTCTTGTCTGTCCTCACGGCCCCCTGCTGGGTTGTAGGCTACATTGCATTCAGGCTAGGGAACACCAGAGGAGAAAAAATGGTAAGTTTGCCAATGATACTCAAATTCTTGTCTTCTTTCCAAGTCAGCCTTTAGCTATTTACTTTTCAGTCCTCAAATATTTGCTCCATGCATTCATTCTGTCCAGGTTTTCTAGCTGCATTTAGTGGGAGAGACAAGGCCAAGTGTGATTACTCCACCTGACCCAGAGCCAGCGCCCTCCCCTATTCCTTCCTAACCTCTACTCTGCATCACCTCTCGACCTTCAGGAAATGGCGGTGTGGGAGCTACTCTGATGGAAAGACTGAAGGCTCTTTTCACAGTGTACTGTGCGTACACCAGCGTCTTGGGGCTCCCACTGCCAAGGGACAGTGCTGTCTTTACTCTCTTTGGCAATTGGGCATCATGACCTGGTGGGCACTGAAAGCAGTTGGAATTGTTTTGTAAAATTAATGCTTTTGTACAGTCTGAAGGTACATTTTACGTTTCATTTTTAGACCAGGAAGGTCATCTTACTTTCTGCATTTGTGTTCTCACTGTAGGGTAATCATGCTGTGTTATCACACTATCCTAGGTTTGCCCAAAGGACCAGCCAAAACCCCGACTCAAGTCATACATATGAGAGTGTAAGTAATGAAACCCTTTCCTGGCAGTGCACCTAGTCCGATTGTCATGGCCAAAAGGGAACTGCTGGTCATTAATTCTAATGTTTTTCTCAAGGTCTCTTTGAATTTATAATGTATTGATGTAGGCCTTGTTAGGACTTTTCCTTATTGTCTTTTTAATCTTTTTTTTTCTTTTGATTTTTTTAAAGTTACAGTTGGCTTACAATATTATATTAGTTTCAGGTGTACAGCATAGTGGTTAGACATTTATTTAACTTACAAGGTGATCACTCTGATAAGTCCAGTACCCATCTGACACCATACATAATTATTACAATATTATTGACCGTAGTCCCTATGCTGTACTAGCACTTCACATCCCTATGACTGTTTTTATAACTGGCAACTTATATTTCTTAATCCCTTCCGCTTTTTCACCCATCTCCCCAGGCCCCCCTTCCATCTGGCAACTATCAAAAAAGTTCTCTGTATCTATGCGTTTGTTTCTGTTTTGTTTGTCCGTTATTTAGATTCCACATGTCACTTTATGCCTTTCTATAGCGTCAAGATATTTTTGTTCCTGTTTGAGATTGTGTATTTAGTAAAACCACTAAATCTGGATTGAGGTAAACAGAGTATGGCGAAAGTAGGTTTACAGTTGTAAGTGAAAGTTTTTATTCTTATGTTATTATTTATTATTGTATTATTTTCCATACCAACAACTGTAAACCTACTTTTGCCCCACCCTGTATATTCCTGCTTTTATTTTTTTAAAGCAACATGTTTCTTCAGAATTTTACATGGGAAATGAGGTGTAATGGCATGAAGACAGACAGAAAAGCAGTAAATTTTATAAGTGGTTATTACTTAAAAAACTAAAGTAGTAGTTCAGAATTACTAATTCCTGTCCAGTTAAGAGCATACGGTTCTTGGAATAGTGCCCCTTGGAAGCCTCAGAATCTAATTTTAAAAAAGGGAAACTTACTGTAGAATGTTGATTTGAATATGCACTCTGTTCTCTTCAGCTTCCAGTATATCAAAATTCAGTGTTACTACAGCCGGTGAGTCTACACACCGTTCCAGCCTCACCGTCAAACCAGACACTGCCAGCCTTGCCCGCCAACCACCCAGGTACTCAGGACCCTATTATTTGCACTAACAAGGGAAAACTGAATGTGAGTCTGCGAGAGATGCATTGGTAATCGAAAAATAAAAGAGAGAGGAAAAATTAGAGGAGTTTGTTTGCATTTCTAAGTTCCATGAAGTAAATTCAGGGTAAATACCATTCTGACATGAGGAAATTATAAAAGTGCTTGGGTTGTGCTGAATATTGTATTTTGAGCACTGAGGGTAAATGAACCGTTAGCTGAAGTTTGAAATCCTTTTGTTGTATAGATTTGTTGCCATGGGAGTAGTATTAGAATGGCAGTGTATTTGTTTCCGTTGTCAGTTTTTGTTAGGATCTTATGTTTGAAGTCTAAATCATAAGAATACTAATTGTGCGTATTCCCTTGAAAAGCAACATGTGTGTTTACTGCCTTTTTTTTTTTTTTTTTTGCCTAAAGCGATGACAAAGAATGATCTCCAGCTACCCAATTACTACGAGGTAATGGAGTTTGATCCCTTAGCTCCTGCTGTCACGACAGAGTAAGTCACTTTCAGAATGATTAATTTATTTTTTGTCTCGGTTCCCTTTGGTAGCAGAGCTAACAGGGCTTGCTTATATATTTAACTTTGCTTAGATCTTGGCACAAATTGATGACCTTATTAAAAATGACTTATGAGGTTTTATGGGAGCTGTTGCTCTTAATGGTCTTACCGTTCTCGGCCTTGTGACTGAAAAATAAAAAAGCTCGGGTTGCACATTAAGAAGTAACCGGAACCATCATGTGCATTAATGGATTCCTCGTGGATGGCTTGGCAGAAACTTGGGTTTTCTCCTGATTGAGAAGGGCACTAGTCACTGATTAATGACATAGCAACACCACACTGGTGGGATATTTTAGCTGTGCTTTGACTCCTAATCCTCCCCCAAACTCATATAAGAACTTGGTGTTAGTCTTCACTACGTATGACAACAGTGTGCTTAAAATGAATTAATAAAGCATTAGTAAAAATTACTTAACTTGCCCTAACCGGTTTGGCTCAGTGGATAGAGTGTCGGCCTGCGGACTGAAAGGTCCCAGGTTCAATTCCGGTCAAGGGCATGTACCTTGGTTGCGAGCACATCTCTAGTAGAAGGTGTGCAGGAGGCAGCTGATTGATGTTTCTCTCTCATCGATGTTTCTAACTCTCTATCCCTCTCCCTTCCTCTCTGTAAAAAATCAATAAAATATATTTTAAAAAATTTACTTAACTTGAAATCCTTCAGGCACCATTATTTTTTGATATCCTATAGGTCAAGTGTATAAAAATATTTCTGGGATGGTAGGCTCATTAGAGCTTTAATATATTTTGATTGACTGAAGGTTAACCCCCAAATTGTTAAAAATGGTCAAAGTATGTTTATAGAAATCATTGTTCAGAAACTGGCAGCCTGCATGCTGTATCTTTGCCTACAGCTGTGCAGAATATACAATATGCATTTAAAAACTAATAGCCAACAGTTAAACACTGGGATATTTCAAAAAATATCTGGACCTATGGATTTAGATGCCAGGCCTGCATTTTCACATGCTAGCAATAGGTTGGGGTTATGGAGTGGCTGTCTCCTTAAGATTAGGTAGGTTCTGCAGTCCACCAGCCCCTTGGCCTGGCCCCCTGCATCCACTCATTTGACCTGCCTGGCATGTGGAGGTATTTGAGGGAACACCTGGTACAAAGACCCCAAGGAGAGAGGTTTGCTACATTCAAGGACACAGAAAAGCCAAAGCTAAGAGCAAAGAGAGCAACAGGGAACCTGTTATCAGATGTGGAAATTGCAATTTGGAAACCAAAAAGGGAGTGCACCACTGTGATGAACTTCAGTGAGAGGACAAGTAAGATGAGGACTGACAACTAGATAACGGATTAAATAACTGGAAATCATTGATTTAAAAAAATGTTATTAATTTCAGAGAGAGGGAGAGGGAGATAGAGATAGAAACATCAATGAGAGAATCATCGATCAGCTGCCTCCTGCATGCCCCCTACTGCAACACCATGTGCCCTGACCAGCAATCAAACTGTGACCTCCTGGTTCATGGGTCAAGGCTCAACCACTGAGCCACATCGGCCAGGCTCATTGGTGATTTTAGTAAAAGCCATTTTGGTAGATGGATGGGGACAAAAGGCAAATTTCAGTGCATTAGTAAGAGATGGAGTAGCGACAGTAAGTGCAGACACCAGAAACTTAAACACGAAGGGATGCTGGGAAATGGTTTGGAAGCTAGAGGGTTACTGAGGTGATTACCAAGTAGACACAGGGTTAGGGACTATATTGTTGATGCTGGAGCATCTGTGAATGCTGAGGGGTAGGATCCAGTAGGCAGGGAGAGGTTAAAGATTCAGTTGGGGAAGGGAAATAACTAAAGGAGGTAAGTGTTTGAGAAGCCAGGGCTCGAAAGGATCCCAAAAGGAAATGATGATGCAGATGAAAACAGACTCGAAGATTCAGTGATGGGAAGATGAGGAACTATCCATATCAAGGCATTTGATTTATTAAGAAGTGGAGTTTCTGACTCAGAGTGAGAGGAGGGAGATAAGAGACTTGAGAGTGAAGGAGGCTGAAATAGTTTTGTGGAAAATGAAGACAACACTTATTAGGGAAACTTTTAAAAATATCTGGACCATGCTAGGGCTTTGTGATAATGATGACCAAGACTTCAGTGATTTTTAGATTTTTCTTCAGCCATGTACTAGTATATGAATGATATATTTTCTAGCCGCAGACATATAAGACATATATAAAGAGTTGAATGAAGGCTGTCATAGAAAAATTATTATATATTATATATAAAGTACAAAGATGACATTTAAGCTAAAGGTGGCTCAGGAGCTTGGACTGTATTAACACAGGTTATATAAACTAAAGTTACTATATTTTATAAAATGTTTTAAAACCAGGAAAAGCTGAACAATTTTTCTTTTAAAAAGCACAAGCAAACTGTCCAAATTTTAGCCATATTTTTCATTAAATCACAATTAAAGTGAATTGACTATACAATACACATATCGTTAAGATGCAGAGGAACTGCACCATTAGGATCTAAGAAAGCTACAATGTAAGATTCAGGGCAGATATTTTTGTTTTTATTCACTTAAACAGCCTGAATGGCTAAGGGAACCAGATTTTTAGTTCAGGTTAAAAGCCAAAATAGTACTTTGAAAGTGATATGTAACCCTTTTGCCACAATGGCTTGTTTGTTTCAGAGCTATTTATGAAGAAATTGATGTTCATCACCGCAAAGGCACTCAAAATCATAGTGACTGTTAAGGTAAAGACTTCAACTTACACACCCTTCATTCCACATTCTATAGGATTTCAGTGTAGTTATCACTTTTTCTAGTTATTATTTACGTTTTGTAAGGGCCATCTGACACTTTAATGAGTGAAATATTAATATACAAGTTCCTTCAAATCACTCAATCGAATGAACTATTTGTTCCCCAATGAAATACGTTCTTTGTGACCTTGTTAACTAAAAATAATAAATCTTGGGAATGCAGAAATTCATCTGTGTATAAAAATATTAATGTTAACAAAAACAGATGATCAATAAGAACTTTTTAGCACTAGAATCAGACATCTGTCTTATATGTGCAATTGACACCTGTTAACTGGGACAGATAGAAACCATCCATTGTTAATCCAGATAGGTCTGGATGATTTTTATTTGCTGGACTAGTCATCCCACTTATTTATTAATGAATGCATGGCCACTAATAACCTATTAACCTTATTTATTCCCCTTGCACACACCCCCAATGGAAATAGTACATTCCTGCCTTTCCTCTATTAGTATGTGGCCCTCTAGTTATCAAGGAATGGGGACAGAGAAGGAAAGGATGGGGACGGCTGACTATTTTCTGTTTATTCTAGGTGAAAAGGACAGACCAGCTCACTAGCTGCATTAGGGGTAACAACTCCAAGAGGTAGACTGTCCAGCTGTGAGGCCCCGAAGACAAGATCTACCAACACTTTAAAACCAGGGTGGAACACTTCTCCTTGGCAACAGTGAAATTTAAATAGAAGAGTAACAGTTCAAGTTTTATCTCAAAAAAACTTGCTTTTAACATTTTTCACTTAAAACTCCAACAGAAGAAAAAAAATTCATTGTACTGGGGCCAATCAGGTTAATTCGAGCATCTTATGTTTCTCAGGCGTTCCTACATTTAGAAATCATCACATGGCTGTGATGAGAGTAGATGGATATTATTTTATTACAAAATAATTCTGAATACATGTAAGCACAAAATGTAAGAAACTAAATATAGTATTCAGGAGAAGAGTGAGTGCCTTCATTTAACTAAAGCCGAATATGTGCACTTTTTTATAAATAATATTCTTGTTTAGAATTATGAATTGTAAAAACTTTAATATTGTAGTTCCTATTTCATGTATCCTGAAGAGGTCACAGGATGCTACATCAAGTTGCCTTTAAATACAATTCTTTATAATACTAAATGTTCTCTCTCTCTTTTTTTTATTGCAATTTAAATTTTTTTTGAAACAACGACCACTGGAAAATATTCAGAATAAATTATACATTCATTTATATCATAAATTACAATGACAAATAAATTACTATTAAAACAATTTAATACATCTTTTTTTACAGTTTGTTCATTGCAGAACTTATGTGAGTAATCTTCACATTTCCCACACTTACATTTTAACATTCAGGGACTTGGAGCTATCACAAGAAATACTAGAAGTCTAATAGATATTTGCATTTCATTTCAATTTCATGATACCAAAACTCCAAAGTAATTATTCAGTACTCTGAATGTAAATCGCCCTAAATCTTAAAGGAAAAACAGTCCCATCTGAAATCAGAATGTAATCTTTGGGCAAACTGTTAGGGCTTAGTGATTCCCCTTCCATTTGGAGCTTTTCAAATAGTGACTGTACACAATGAAAAAAAAAAAAGTGGTAACCAAGTGTTTTAGAAATATAGTCAGAAGTTCTGACCTAGATCTTGAGACAATACTGGGCATAAAAAAAAAAAAGTACTACTACAGGTATGTAATGCTAGTAATTTGGAAGGGACCATGCCTACATATTTAAGAAACAAAGCAGTTTCTTTTATTACTACTTAGCAAAGTACAGCTTTGAACAGTCATACATTCTAAATAGGCAAGTGGATTTCTTATAATAAAAAGCTGAACCTCTTCTCTCAATTTTAAGTAGGGTAAATTAGTTGGGGGGAAGTACATAATATTTAAAATAGAAAGCATAAAAAAGAATAGAATACATTATCGTAGAATGTTTCTCTTCTGAGAAGACAAGATACCTGATTTTTCAAAAATCACAAATTTGAATCATAAGATATTGACTTCAATTATAGCCTGGAACTGGCAACTGGTGGCCCTCCTTTGCTTCAAAAAAAGTATAAGAAAGAGTGATGAGATCAACATTCACCATTCTTGGATCTTCAGCAAATTCAGGATCAATGTAGAAAAACACTGGCATATCTACTTCCTCTTGTGGATTAAGCCTTTGTTCTTCAAAACAGAAGCACTAGAAGTTATAGAAAGGTATTAGTTTATTAATATTTCTATTCTATTATCTAGAGTAAAAACTAATGGTGCATTTATTGGCTTTAATAAGCATACTGTTAAACATAATCTTTAAATTCTGTGATAGGGTAACAGCATCTTTTCATCTTAGATTGAGTTCTGCTTTAAGGATCGAGAATCAACAAATTCTTCTAATCTTAAAAGCAGATTTCCATTTAGTTTGGCTCTAAACCTCTACAGAGCTGTTACAAGCAATGAAAAAAAAGTAGTTTGAAGTTTAGAAGAAATGAGTTTTCAGAAATCAATACCCACTAAAATACTGCATTAAATTTAGTGCTAAATAGTTTTTTTGTACTTTTATCATATTCTATAGCTTGCATTTAGTTGTACCTGTATTTTATTGAAATACTGTCCAGCTTCAAATGGTACAACATTGTACGTAGAAATTCCGATTACTGGTTTGTCAGTAGGATTCTTAGCTTTATAAAACGCCAGTGCAGTCTCTCCAGGCACTACCTGTTTTTTTAAAAAAAATATTCATCATCAATACTTTAAGTCTCACACAGCTCCTTCTTTTCCTACTAAATCAGTCACATTATCTTTCCTATCCATCAGACCATAATCTAAACTAAGAGCCAGCAAAATAGTGAATACTACCCATGAACACCTGATTTATCAGTGAAGAACCAATACTCTAATATGCATACTTAGTTATGGAGTCTGTCAACATTTTGAAATTAAATTTAGATGAGTGTTTCCAAAATTGTGAAAGTTTTAAGTTTCACTGAATTTTTACACTGAAAAAAGTAATCTTTTAGTACTTACAGGTATTTCTTTGATCACTTACATATATTTCTGTTTGCTGAGGTCTAAAGTTCCACTGGAGACTTGCGTGCACATCTGCATTAAAGGTGACTTTAATGATGCGATCCTTAACAGGCACCATGTTTTCAATCTGGTCTGATGAATGGCCTGCTGCTACTGATCCCCCAAGTCCAGTAGTCTAGAAAAAGAAATGTAATATGTTATGTATTACTTTTAGGTGCTGACGATCTATTGGACAAAATCATAATTTTAAAAACCATTTAACTTTAATAACACAATAGGAGCCAAGTTTATGTACTATCACTGACCATTTCCTATGAATGTGTCAAATGATTTAACCACTTTGGGGGTGGGGGGGCGGTCAAAGGCCTAAATTTATTTAAGTCGTATTTTCTCAGTAATCACTCGGTTATGTGGCATGGTCAAAAATGAGTCATTTGGAAGACAGAAGACTCTTCACTGATAATACAGCTCAGAATATTTAGCTTTTCAATAAGCATACTTTCCTTTATTCCTAGTATTTCTTATCAACTATTATTAATAGAAATAAAATTTACCCACAATCCTGTCATTTTAGTAAAACTATTTAAATAATTCAATTTTCCTATCTGGTCCTTTTTCATATTATTAACTTTTACAGCACAGATTCATTTTAGCTTCACTTCTGCAATAATTCAATTTTCCTATCTGGTCCTTTTTCATATTAACTTTTATAGCACAGATTCATTTTAGCTTTACTTCTGTAATCTGCTTTTCTCAAGCACCACAAGTATTTTCCCATGTTGGTAAATGTTTTTGTAACTTCTGTAATTTTTGTGTAGTATAGCTTTTACAGATATCCATCAGTTAGAGAACTTGATCTCTTTGGTAATTTTTGTGTAGTATAGCTTTTACAGATATCCATCAGAGAACTTGATCTCTTTGGCCACTGAATGAACTAATCATAAGACATCGGAATAATCTGTGTATGACACTTCTTCCCTATCTTTCTTGCCATTATTTCCTTTATCATCAAAAATGCTTTAAAAAAATATTCTTACTTCCAGGCTCATCATTCTTCTGATGCTTGAGGTTGCCAGAATTCTGGTCTCCGGATAATTAATCTGTTACTATACTAGGAAAAAAATACCAAATTTGAGGCTAGGGGAAGACTCCCAGCAAAATATAGTATTACTAACTCCCGCTTGTTACACCAGTCAGCTAGCTTCACTTGACTGCCATGCAAATTACATTATAACCCTAAAAGATGCATCAGAGGGCAAGCCTTTATCTTTGTGTAATATAGAAGTATATTCTTCTGCCCAAGAAGGCTATAATGCTTACATTTTAACATATGACTCCTTTTCCTGAAGAATTCGAAATCACTTGAATATAGATTCCTTCAGGCACTATTTCTGACTGGCAGTCTTCGAATATAGATTCTTTAAATTTATGTCTGATTAGAAAAAATAGAAAAGGGCACTGAGAAGAAAATATGCCCTGGTCTCCAGTCTAGTTCTGCCACTAACTGAATCCAAGAACTCAATAAATCTTACTTTCTTTGGGCACATGTTGCAGACTCATAAAATGAGCTCACTGTATTAAGTGGTTTATATAAGCCCTTATTTTTGCCTCTAAAGTTCTGAGTCCAAAAGTGAAAGAGATACTCTGTTGGAAATGTCACTATTTAACATCCAACTGTGATTTAAATTTAGGATAAATCACAACTGCTTTTACTTTTCTGCCCTGTGCTTGCACACATGCACACAAAATATTGCCATTCATTTCAGTTTGGGCCAGGATTTCTCAACCTTGGCACTAATGACGTTTGGGGTTGGATAATTCTTTTTTTTTGGTGATGAGGTGGGGTGTGTGTCTGTCCTGTTTGTTAGATGTTTAGCAGCATCCCTAACCTCTACCCACCAGATACTAGTAGCACCCTCCTGCCAGGTTGTGGCAACCAAAAATGTCCTCAGACATTGCTAAATATTCCCTAAGGAATAAAATCAACTTGGTCTGTGGTGGTCCATACTTGCTGTTTTGGGATTCAGGCTGGCTATCGGCTGGCCTCTGCTGGAAACTAATTCACATTCTACACATCCTCCACAAATCAAGCGATTGCACTTTCCCACATAAATGCTGATATCAGGAGGCTGAAAAGTCCCTTTGACTTCTGTCTCGGTCATCACACAAAATAAAGGTAAGTTCACCTCTGTAAGCTCAGGGGAAGTTAGCCAGGTATGAACAGTGGCAAAGATTCTGAGCAATCTTTAAAATATTACTAATGCCTGACCCCACTCCAAGACATTCTGATTTAACTGGTTTGGGATGTCACTGATCTGTCAGTTTTTTAAAAAGCTCCCTGGTTACTCCAATGCCCAGCCCAGCTGGAGCAGCAGAAATTACTACTTTTAAGAACTATAGAGACTATATATGAATTAGGGGAAGTTTGCCTTGGCCAGTGGTTCTCAAACATTAGTTTGCATCAAAACCAGCTAGAGGACTTATTTACATACTGACGCCCAGGCTCCTGATTGAGTAGGTCAGGAGTTGGGCACAAGAATCTGCACTCAAGTTCCAAGGTGATGCTGATCGTGCCGGTCCCGAGGACCACACTGAGAAGGAGCTAGATGCTGAACACGGAGCCCAGGATAAGCACGTTAGTTACAAATTACGGGGATGGGGCCCTCAAAGGCCTAATTCAGGTCTCTATTGATGGATAAAAAGCTACTCCCGGTGTAAGCACAAGTAACACACAGACTCCCATCTCCAGGGTGAACCTGCGCTCATCAACCGTGTGGCTCACCGAGTTAATGTGCTAACATGCACTACATTTTTTAAAGCGGGCACGTGCGCCAGCAGCCGGAGGGTAAAGCAGATGGCTGGATTCCGGAATGCAGGCTGCGGACTTTTCGGGCGAGCTCAGAGATGGATGAATTTCACTCTGCAGCAGGATCACTATATTTGCAGCTCCGCCGCGAACTTCCTTGGTGACCTTGGCCCAGCCACCTCTTTGGGCCCGTTTCCTCTCTGGGCGATCATCTCGGACGTCCCAACAGGACACCGCCCAGTGGGGTGGGCAGCGGCGGCCCCTACCTGGCAATAGAGCCGATAGAGAGGCACGGCGGCATAGGACGCCCCCAGCATGCCCACGGCGGCCGCGGCCATGTACGTGAGGACCGTCTTGTTTCGCTGCCGCCATTCCTCCTCCTGCGCGCGCGCGTGCGGATTCGTGCTCTTCGGGCGCCGGGCCGGCTGCACGGCCAAGTCTCGGGCCAGGTTCGGGCGCCTCCATGTTCCGAGCAGCCTCAGCCCCCTCTCAGCACCTCCCGTCCCACTCCTCTCCGGCCTGAGGCACTGCTCCACCCTCTCCGCGACCCTGGTCGGGGGCCCAAGGGGGCGCCAGCGCCAGCCGCAGAAAGCGACGCGCCGCCATCCCGAGCGCCAGAGCCCTCCCATAGCGTCCGGAAAGGACGTCCGCCGGTCACGCACGAGGGAAGATCTCGCGAGACCTGCTCTGTCTCGCGATACCAGAGTGGAGCCCGCCGCTGCCTTGGCTACCAGGCTGCTGGGGAGGCTACGCCCGGAGTCGCGCTACGGAGGCCGGGTTGCCAGGTTACGGGTAAGTTCGCGTTTTGCTTTAGGACTGTTCCTCCCACTTGGTTTCGCTCCGACTTATCTAACTTTTAGGAAAACGCCTTACGCTCCTCCGCGTGCACCCGTCCTCACTCAGGGTGGTGTCCCCGGCCTTCCTAAACGGCATCAGTCTTTGTCTCGACCGAGTGGCCCCCCACGGCCGCTGTCCCGCGGTCCTTTTACCCGGGGTTCTCTGGCCGCCCGCCTGCTCCTGGCCGCGCGGGCCCCGGCGCTGGGGTCACCTGTGCTGGGACGCCTTCCTGGGGTGAACCACAGCCCCTCGAGCAATCACGTCATTTTCTCAGCCCCAGGGAATGGGCGTCCCCTGCCCCGACGCCCCCGAACTACTTGCCCAGGGACATCACCGCTGGTGGAGCCGGAGGGACGCCGTCCATCCGAAGTTGGTGTAGAGTGGCCAGGATGCGAGGGTCATTTAAGGAAGGACGGAAGGCAGCGGGGATGTTCATCTCGGGAAATAGATGTTCGGAGATGCGATAGCTTCTTCCGTTATCCCACCGGACGGAGTAGACAGCAGAGCCGGTGTTGCTGTAACGGAAGGAAGCTTCTCTAGAAACTATGTAAAGTCGCGGTGAAGAGCTCAGGTTCAGAGGTTAGGTCCGGATTCATCCCTGGGTCTGCACGTCGGCCTGGTGTCCTGGGACCAGTTATTGGGCCCCAGACTTCGTGACCTTCTTTGTAAAATGGGAATCGTAATAGTGAGATTATGCGTGTAAAGTGATTTGCACAGTGCCTGAGACATAGTAAGAAATTAGTAAATGTCAGGCTTCCTTTCTAATGACCAGAGCTGCCCGAGAAATGATTTTCAGTAATTTACTTACTTATTTCACTGTTCCCGTGGGCCAGACCCTGTTCAACCTACGAGGGCTACAATATAGAGAAAGTCAGGATCACTTCTGTTAGTCTTTTCTTCTGATGACTCAGGAGATGATCAATAACATACATAAATAAGAGAATTTCACATAACAATCTGTACAATGAAGACAACGGAATAAGATAATAATGTAATTTTTATTATTTTTTTCTTTCAAAGGTAAACATTTTATTTTTTAGGAACTTCGTGCAACACATTTTCAAAGAGCCACATAAGAAAGCAAAAATGTTACCCTCCCCTCATCCTGGAAATAAATTAGAAGGGCGTACAATTTCTTTTTAAATCATGACGCTTGGGAGTTTAGCACCAGCATACAAAATAAACAGAAAAGGGGGTGGGAGCATTCACTATATTTCAGATTTCTTTGGTTGGGGTTCTTCCCAGGTGGTATTAATATTTCTTCTTTTGATTCATGTTACCAAAACAGTAAAAACCTGGAAAAATACATATAAACTTAGTGGTTGCTGAGATTGGGGAGGTTGCTCTCTTGTCTTCTGTGCAGGCATTCCTGGAAAAATTTCTGGAAAATCGGCTGACATTCTCTTTTTATATTTGTTTTGTAAAAAATAATCGTGCCAGGCCAGTGTGCCTCAATGGTTGAGCATCACCCTATGAACCAGGAGGTCGAGGTTCGATTCTAGTCAGGGCACATGCCCAGGTTACAGGCTTGATCCCCGGTAGGCAACTGACCTGTGATTCTCTCTCATCATTGATGTTTCTATCTCTTTCTCCCTCTCTCTCCCTCTCTGAAATCAATAAAAAAAAAATTTTTTTTTTTAAAAAGCCAATAAAATCCAAGCACCCTTTGACTCTTTTCTACTCTGGCACAAAAATCTCAAGATTATGTGATTCTACAAATTTATTTGTTTTGTTTTATGAGAATGTTTGAAAATCTTTTCATCTGTATCTCCCTTAGTTCTTACACCAGATTGTCAGCTCTTTCGGGACATGATCTGTCATATTTTAAATTTCTTACAGTGTAGACTCAAGCCCCATGCAAATGTTAATGTCTCTGAAAGCAAGAGTACATTCCCTCCAACATCCTCTAGGCAACCTTTTCATGTAGCAACAGGTAGCAGTACATAGAAATGTCAGTCATAGTGTCTTTGTCTCGGGTTCTATTATTTTGTTTTGTTTTGTAATTGCAACTGAAACTATTCCTTTCCAAGGTACAGTAATCTTGATAGCAATAAAGTGGTGTTGGCTGCAATTCTTGTGAGTCTGAGTCTGCTTGTGATAATGCATAAATAATTATGATAATGAATGCTACATAATGGATTCTGCCTGGAATGGAATGGGAGCACCTCAGGGCAAGACTAGTACAACCTTGTTCTGCAGGTAGTAGAGGTGTTGATTACAAACGGACTTAAAATATAAGGGGCTGGACTGAGATTTCAGACTTGGCACCTTTAATTTGTAATGTCATTGCTCAGCCGTAAATGATTAATCCTTGTGAACCCTTTCTAGCTAGTTATCTAGTTAGATATTAGATATGATCATGTCTAATTTTACATAGTAAAATAGGTTATTTTTATATAAATCATTTTGGGGGTGGGGACTGAGAAATGGTGAAGGTTGAGAAGAAAGAAAAAAGAAATTTTGAGTCACACAATGTTTTCCTATTGTGTGTTATTGCTTTTCAGACTTTCTGAAGACTTACAGATTATAAAGATGTGTTATTTTTAAAATTTGGTTTCTAATTACTTTTTGGCATTTTAATGGCTAATATAAATTCAGGAAATTGCAAGTTAAACCTTAGTATGTTAGTCACTGAGCTGTATTTTGTAACTGTCTATCTAATAAAGTTACTGGGTTCATTTGGCAATGTGAAATACCTAACAATTAATCTGGCATTACAAACAACTGTTTATTTGGCAGCTGTATATTACAAGATTTTTCCTGTACTTAAAGGAGGAAGAGTAATGCATTTGAATAAATAGTAAGAAGTAGTGAATTCCAGTTTGCTTGAGACGAGGCTGAATATTCACTGTTTCCCAATAAATTAAAGCACACTCAGGGCATGAAGCTGCCTTAGTAAGTCTTGATGTCCTGGTTTCTTATTCTTGGCATCTTCCTTTAAGCCACATGTTTCAGGGGCTGCTCCATGTAAAAGACTTCAGGGGCTACGTTTATATGATTGATAGATAAGATGAAATGAAAACAGAAATCATTCACCAGTAACTTCTGTCAAGATCAGTGCCAGCTTCAAGGTTGTGTGCCCGTGCGGTTGCACAAGGACCTGCTTTTAAAAGGGCCGCTGGCTCAGTTGGACCTTGTATTTGGTTTAATGCTCTGCTGTCATGATCTTGAAATAATTTGTTTAACAGGGACTTGCATTTTCATTTTGTCCTGGCCCCAGGATACATATTATATTCCAAATGAACCGACTGACTGACGTTCTGACGTCTGCTAAAGCGCAGTCAACCTAAAAGTAAGAGATAAGGAAAAAGGCCAATTCAGGTCTCCTGAGAATAGCCAGGTTGCATGAAATAAGATCAAGCAAAAATCCAAACTCCTTTCCACAACCCATTAGACCCTAGTTCATCTCGACCCTGCCTACTTTTCTAACTTTATCTCCGATCTATGACTGTCTGCATTCACCAGGCTCCATCCACACTCTTTTTATAAAAATGTATTTTTATTGATTTCAGAGAGGAAGGGAGAGGGAGAGAGAGATGGAAACATCAATGATGTGAGAGAATTATTGATCGGTTGCCTCCTGCACTCCCCACACCCGGAATCAAGTTTGCAACCCAGGCATGTGCCCTGATGGGGAATCGAACCAGGACCTCCTGATTCATAGGTCGATGCTCCACCAGTGAGCCACACCTCCTTCTATGCTGTAAATGTCCCAAATTTATTTTGCTGCCTTGAGGCCTTTTCTCTGCCTGGAGTACTTTGTCCCTCAGTTTTTCTTCTGGCTGATCTATTATTCGGATCTTGGCTGAGACACCACTACCTGACCTAAATTAGCACTCCTCTTCCAGCCAAATTTGATTATACTATCTTTTGGTATCTGAAAGTTAGTTTATTTTGCTGTTTCCTTCTGTTTTTAAATATTTTTTAATTGATTTCAGAGAGGGAGTGAGAGGGAGAGAGAGATAGAAGCATCAATGATGAGAGAGAATCATTGATTGGCTGCCTCCTGCACGCCCCCTACTGGGGATCGAGCCTGCAACCCGGGCATGTACCCTTGACCAGAATTGAACCTGGGACCCTTCAGTCCCTAGGCCAACGCTCTATCTTCTCAGCCAAACTGGCTATGGCTGCTGTTTCCTTTTTTTTAATTGTTTTTCTCCCATCACTAGAGGGTAGATACCGTAAAAACAGGGACCTTGGATTGTTCAGCATAATAACACAAGCCCTTAGCATAGTGCCCTGCATGACTGAGCTGAGTAAATGTCTGGTGGATGAGTGCATGAGTGTGGCAAGCAGAAGGGAGTCAGAGAGTCTACGGAAACTTCCGAGAACAGTGAGCTGTGACTCTGACAAAGATCTCAAGTTTCAAGAAATGTAGGACTCCTTTGAAGCATTTCGGTATTTCCCACAGGATTGGGCTGTGTTACAGGCAGAGCTATGTGTCCACCCCCCAGACAGATGAGCAGCATTCCTGACTGTTTGGATTCCTGAAAGGGAAAAAATGCACGAGTAGCTGGAAAATTGCCCCTGGGTACACAAGAAAGAAGATAGTATAAGAACCCTCTGACCTTTTATATCTTTATTTTCTGAAACTTTAATGTAATTTTAAAAAAGATCAATTAAGTAAAGTCTACCCCAAGGGAAGAGACTTATTCCTGATTTTTGTCAGTGTCCTTAAACAGCTGTAGGGTTATATAAATAGTTAATGCTCGCTTGAAGAATCTCTGATGTGATAAAGTGTACAAATTACCAGTTTGAGTTCCACTTCCGCTGCCCTTTTTAACTGAAAATCCAATTTTTTAAAAAGTTAACTTGATTAAGGTATCATTGATTTATAACAAACAACACATATTGAGGGTGAAAGAATTTGCTAGGTTTTGACATGGGTATTCGTTTGGAAAACCATCACTATTGCCTAATATACCTATGAAGAAACGGGCTCAGAAAAGCCCAGCAGTGCAAATTGGAACCCAGGTGTATCTGAAACCAAGGTCCATATTCTAGGTTCTGCAGCCTGAATTCTAGCTGGGAAAACAACCAGTGACCGATTCTTATTTGGGTGGGGAGAGTACGCAATCTCTGTGACCCTCATTTCTTTAATGAGAGGATTGTGCTGAAGGATCCTAAAATCTTTTATAGCTTCATTTGTATACTCCATTCTGTTTCTTATGAAGAGGTGGTAAATCTCTGTTCAAATATTTTTTAATTTAATGATACACTGTTCTCTAATTTTTACAGTGGGTCTGTGAGAGAGATCAAACGACTTTTTTCTTTTCACAGGAAAATTTGAAGAAGCTTGTGGAGTAATATGAGTCAGACTAATCTAGGATCTGCAGGAAGTCCCTCATGATAGTTGGTGAGACAACAGGAATTTCTATTTTCTTCAACAGTGTGTTGTATCATTATTTTGCAGACATTCTGACTATAAACTTCCTAGCCTTGTGCTCAGAAAAGACATTTCCCTCCGTCTTTTATTATTATGTGCTTTTTATGCTTACTAATGGTGGAAGCTATCGTAGTTACCTATAGCTTCCCTGTATTCTTCACTTCTGTCAGAAGTGCAGCTTTCATATAGATGTAGATGTTATGATGATATAGGTATACCTCGATACCTTTATCTATGTCTCTATCTACAGTACTATCTTTACATTTCTCAGATACAATGAGCAATGACTAAAATGACATGGCCCAAAATGTATAAAATTCATCTAACATCTATACACAGGCACATATTGTTTATGTGCCAAATGTATGTAATGTTTTTATGCAAAGTTATGGAGCACATTTGACTGTTCTAAGACATGACACTTTGTTTTCTGCTTCCCCAGTCTTAGGAAAAGAAAAGACATTTCCCTCCGTCTTTTATTATTATGTGCTTTTTATGCTTACTAATGGTGGAAGCTATCGTAGTTACCTATAACTTCCCTGTATTCTTCACTTCTGTCAGAAGTGCACCTTTCATATAGATGTAGATGTTATGATGATATAGGTATACCTCGATACCTTTATCTATGTCTCTATCTACAGTACTATCTTTACATTTCTCAGATAGGATGAGCAATGACTAAAATGACATGGCCCAAAATATATAAAATTCATCTAACATCTATACAAGGGACATATTGTTTATGTGCCAAATATATGTAATGTTTTTATGCAAAGTTATGGAGCACATTTGACTGTTCTAAGACATGACACTTTGTTTTCTGCTTCCCCAGTCTTAGGAAAAGAAGAATTTATAGACTCTTCATCAGATTCTCATTTGCACGGCTGTTAAATGCAAGGCTACTGTGGTGAAACCATGAATAAAAATTCATCTGTTGCAGTACCATCCGGTCTACTTGAAAAGTAATTGTTAAATTAAATTTAGTATGTTTTGAACTATCATAGTTTTAAATCTGTCAAATATTCGTGAGTGTCTGGTGGAAAGTGTTATACAGTTAACAACCTGTGGTCTAGGATAGCAGTAATGAGAAGTTGATCAATAATCACCTTTTAGTGTAAATCAGTGTAAAGGGCAAATTCTGCATTCTCTTTTAGAATTATTTTTCGAGATTGCTTTATAAAATTGATCTAATTTTGAATATCTAAAATATTTTATAATTTCAGTATAAAAATAACATAAGATTAACTTTTGCTGAGTAACAAACCACCTCCAAGTGCATTGAAAATACAAGCTTTTATCCTTTGCCATGAGTTTGTGATTAATTCTTCTGGTCTACGCCTAATGATGTCGGGTGGCCTCATTCGCATGTTCTGGGGCCTAGCTGGGAAGGCTGGATGACGGATGCCTCTTTCCACCTGATCTCAGCTTCCAGGAGGCTAGTTCAGGCTTTTTTTCTTTCTTTTTATATTTCAGAGAGGAAGGGAGATAGAAACATCAACGATGAGAGGGAATCATTGATCGGCTGCCTCCTGCACACCCCCCACTGGGGATTGAGCCCACAACCTGGGCATGTGTCCTTGACCGGAATCGAACCCTGACCTCCTGGTTCATAGGTCGACTCTCAACCACTGAGCCACACCGGCCGGGCAGTTCAGGCTTTTTTATGTGGCAGTGGAATGGTCCCCAGGAGGAAGCACACGTGTTTGTCAAATGTCTATTTTCCTCACATTTGCTGGAGTACCATTGGCTGAAGCAATTTAAATAGTCAAGTCCAAATTCAAGGTATAGAGAGGTAGACTTTACTTTTTAAGGGAAGGAACAGTAGAGTCACTTTCCAAGAGGCATGCAGACAGGGGAGGGAAGAACTGCCACTCTGCAGTGTGTCACACCCACATAACAAGGCCCATTCAGGGAAGGCTTGCTTGCATGCTTGTCCTTCACTCTGCGGCCTCATTTCTCGCCTAGATAACCATTTTTATTCTTGTGGTTTTTTTCAGTGCTTCTTGAGAGAGAAACCTCGATCAGCCGCCTCCTACACACCCCCCACTGGGGATGTGCCCGCAACCAAGGCACATGCCCTTGACCGGAATCGAACCCGGGACCCTTGAGTCCGCAGGCCGACGCTCCATCCACTGAGCCAAACCGGTTCTGGCAAGAGATTTATTTTTTAATGGAAGGAGCGGTAGAGTCACTTTCCAAGAGGCTTGCAGACAGGGGAGGGAAGAATTGCCATTCTGCAGCGTGTCACACCCACATAACAAGGCCCATTCAGAGAAGGCTTGCTTGCATGCTTGTCCTTCACTCTGCGGCCTCATTTCTCACCTAGATAACCATTTTTATTCTTGTGGTTTTTTTCAGTGCTTCTTTTTACATATACGTATAAATATACATAAAGGTTATATATGTGTATATATGTCCATGAACCACGTAATTATATATATTTTTTCTCAAAGTGATTCATTCTTTACTAGGTTCTGCTATACATTAGACATCTCCTGTTGCCTACATGGTAAACA